AACAGAGTGCAACTTCGAGGCGGGGCAGCAGTCCTGAATCGGATCCGAGTCACAGACTCACAGTTGTCATGGGAACTCTCACGTTAGTACTCTAGAAACGGGTGCGATTGTGAACTTCAACGGAGATAAAATCGCAATTGGCAAGGCGCATCATCGAGCTCTCCTCCTCATCACCGCATGCGCTCCCGTTGGCGGGTAAGTCTCTCACCTCGTGGCCTGCATCTGCGACTCCAATCGATAGGATGAGCAACTCACCAGCCAACATGTAAGTCGCCAGCCCCTCGCCCACTTCATACTACTTTCATCGAAAATGAGAAGCAAAATCGAATGAATCTACTGCTAAAATGTGGGTCTATGCATCCCGTCTTCACTTCCCTCTCCTCACGCAGCCCCATATCATCATATCCCTGAATTCACACCCCGAACGCCGAATCTAACTTCGCAAATGACTCGCGAGGCCAAAAACTCTCGGAATCGGATCTCAGCCAGCCCGATTTTGCTAAGAATCGGGCGAGTTATCCGTTCTTCCGCTGTGCCATGCCCATTAGTCCGACTTCCATCGCACACACGTTTCTTTACTAATCTCTTTTGCTACTAACTCTTTGCTCAAACTAACTGCGGATTCTCACTTACTATCTCGCCAAACCCCTAGTTAGCACCTTACTTCGTTCGACTCTATAAAAAAAATCGAACGAAATATTGGACTTCATCCCCCGYCATAGATGCACTCCCGGCTCCGCCCGCGCACCTCCTATTCCCACTAACTTACTAACTACTAATCTCCTCCTAAAACTGACTTCAGATTTGGATTCACCCACCTCCAAAACCTCAGAAGCGMCCCCTGGTTCGCCTGATTCCATCAGGGATCGGGTACGAACTCCATGCTTCCCTCCGCCATAGCCGCTTCCTCGATGCTGCGTCCTTCTTACCCCTTCTGCATGCACCCGGCGCACTTTGCGTTCGGATACATCCACTTTACTCACCTTGCCCCGCGCCTCGCTAGCTTCGCCGCCTGCTGTATACGCACCCCTGTTGTTCGTCTCCTCTGTACAGTAGCGCAGCGCCGGGTCCTACCGGTCCTTACCTCAACGCTTCCTCGAAGCGACTTGGGCAATAATTCTGCCCTACTGGTAAGTCCTCCCCTCTTCGCGCTCGATTCAATCGAGAATCGCACGGGCGACTCCCTTTCCCACGGTCATCCCCTTCGTCATTCCCGTGTCGGGACCAACGTGGTTAACGCATTGTGGTCCGAACTGCGCCGGAGTCAGATCGAGCGAAGGGCAAGCAAACGAAAAAAAAACAAACCGTTCTCTAATTTATGCAGGCCATCCTTACGCAGGGGCCAGGTTAGTCTTCTCTGTATCGTTCCAATTTTAACGGATGTCCCGAAGGACTCGGCCTGGGCCATTCTCTACGACGCTCCAAAGCTTGCGTAGGCCCAGGCACGTCAAAATATTTGGCTTTATTCGTCAAGTTCCATTATCTGAGTTCGGACACAGGCCTGTATTTCAATAGTTCATGGGTGTAACAACTGAGCTAGGCCCATTGGTCCTAACTGCAGCCACGGTACCGCGTCCCGGGGAGGAACGGGGCGTGGGTAAAGAGTAAAATACGAAATAAAAACAACAAAAAAAATCAGAAAGGAAAGGGGACACGGGAATTTACCGGCACCTCGCCAGTCCTGCGGGTTGGGCCCACCATCGCGCTGGACTATAAAACCGAAGGGGATAGCCCCGTCGGGCCCTCAACCCCTCGGTCCCTTCCAACGCTCCGTTGCTCCCATACTTTCGTCCGCTGGCCTCRATCCCTGCGTCAGCTGCGTACCTGTCCGGTGCTGTAACCTATAGGGCTAAGCCCAAGTCTGGTACCAGCAGGCCTGACTCGCTTTATAGAGAGGTAGCRCACGACCCTTGGGGCCGAGGAAACACCATATACCACTTCCCGGCCCACACTTGCACAAGGGACCACCCAAACTCATGTGGTCCTACCCTGTATTCCCCCACATGCCCACAAAAAGCCGCACTAACCTTCCGACCGAGCCGCGGCTACCCCTACCCGGCCGAATCCATCAGGTCCCATCGTCTGGATTCCGCCCATGTCCACACCAGCTCACTAGACCGTTCAGCGTACCACGCGGAACCAATGAATAAGGTGCTCATAGGCTAATCAGTTCAATCAAGATAAAAATGACATATGCTGACCAAAATCCACGCCACGTCTGCCAGTGTAACCGAAAGAAGGGAAAATCACGCGCGCCTCAAACTTGCACGCCCACGCACTTTTTACTCTAGTCACCATAAATTGCAGACGCGGCCGCGCCTAGCGTGGCATACTTAAACTTTAAACCAAACTGTTTGCTGCCGTTTGCAAAGACCAGGGCGGATACCCTTGTAAGGGTATTCGCACCGACAGCTTACCAGACCATATTAAGCGACGTCCCCGTCGCTTCGCAAGATCAAAAGCTATCAATCCAACCACAATCTCAAAATTGTGACGAGCAGGGTACCAATCCGATTAGCCGACAGACCCAGGGTTGAGGCCTCCAATAATCCATGCCAGACACAACTTTACGCTGCCAGGATTCTAACCTGGGTCTCCGTCGCCCTGACCCTCAGACGTCGGGATACTCCTCACTGTACTACAGCATAAGCTCCATTGGATCTCACACCGCCCTCTTCCCTGTGCCCGAGACAGCCGCCGGCTTCTAGTTGTGTGCCCCTAGCCCTTCCCTTGAAACCAAGTCATAACTAGAGGTGCGGACCCTAACCGAGACCTTCGAAGGCATTCTCTCGCCTTCCTCTCAAAAATCTTCAAATTAACACGAGTACCACATAGACTCTCACATGAACTTTCCTGCAGTCTAGTACAGGAAGACCAGGTCTCCATCTTGGTCCATCATAGTCTGGGTGATCATTCTAGATCTACGGCCCACTGCATTTGTTATTTCAGCGGTAGTGCCTTCGCGGGTTGTGCCACGATAGGTTGTTCCTGATAAGTAATCAATCAGGACTTCCTCAAAAGACTCATATGACTCGACTCTTATCTCACGCCTCTCCACAGGAGTAAAACCCCCCTAGGCGTTCATGCCCCTTTTAGTCTTTATTCCCTTGGCCAGACGCAGACCCTCTTCTCAGGTTGTGCCAAACAGTGACCAACACTAAGGGTTGCGCCTTAGTGATACTAGTTATACCCTTAGCTGGGTCTCTTATAAATGTCCAAGATTAGCACAAGTGGTCGGACGGTGTGTCACAGCAATACAAGCCTACTGCGCGACTACGCATAGACCTGTCGCACATAAGGGTATTTACCAGTCCCTCCGTGGGACAACACAGAGGAAGCACGACAACCTCTCCACAATCACAAAACAAAATCACCGCCTGGTTCATAAGGCTGTGGCCTCCCAGCTTGATCAGAGCAAGACGGTCACACATCTTGATGACATCTCTTAAAACACACCATTTGCGACATCCAAGAATTCCACCAGTAGTCAAACAAAGTCTGGTCCCTCTTGTCAGTTTTTTATTACTCAAAGTCAGCCTTCCACTTATCAATCTTATTAACCACCTTATTTATAGAGGAGGTCTTACTTTAATAGGTCTCTCCGTCATCCCTCTCTCGCTAGGATGAACTCTCTCGGGAACTTCTCTTTAACACATCTTTCCTTTCTGAAGATGCGTCTTCCAAATACATAATGGACAACCTTTCCATTCACAGGTGTCCCACTCATCATATGATCCATATAAAAAAACCAACTTGTGGGTCTTCTACACAGCTGAACAACAAAGCATCTTCACAAAACAGACTGSGCTTCCTCTCCTTATACTCGGCCCTATCACCTGCCCAGGGGCAGATCGCACGAGTATACCGGCGAGTAGACAACTCACATTCATCCAAATTCACAAGGTACAACATACATSAAGTATTTTCTCGCRCATATTTCACACCAACCCATCATCCATTATGCCAGGTCCACACGAGTGAGTGCGAGAGTGATCGTCATACACAGCAAGTAGTCCCCAAAAAACCTCAATATAATATACACTTAGGGATAAAATATCCCACATGAAATGTCTCCAACATACACTCAGGGGTAAGATATGTGAATCACTCAAATCACTCAAATCCACACTCACGCGGGTATCCTCCTTAAGATACAAGTCGGGTCTGTCACTCAGAGATCGGGGTGTGGGCCAACTAAGTATGTGCACGCCTCATCTATCACGTCCCGGTCCTCAAGATGGCAGACTCAACAAAAATCCAACCCTAACTGCCCGACAAAAGCAAACAACACCTAGGTCTATAGAATGTCATCCAATCCTAACTCAAGTCTTATACGCAACATGTCAACCATATAGGAAAACTCAGTCCTGGTCGCGTATCTCCTCCTGGTTTTGCCTATATAGTTGAGCCCTACCCCCATCTGCAGATCTCTCTACTCTCCTGCCCTGTCTGTCATACATCCTGCCTCCTTCCTCTGTAACCTTCCCTTCAGCCTTGTCCTTCAGGAACTTAGGACACTGCAAGGCTCGATGCCCCTCCTTTGTACAGAAGAAACAGGGCGTATCGAACCACTTCCTTGACCTCTTCTTTCCTCTCTACGACCCTGGCGACGATGGTGCTTCGCTAGCCTCCCTGCTCAGCTCATGGCTCTGAGGCATATCCAAAGGCTCCTCTCCTGTCTCCACCTCCTGGGTACTCGGCCCTGGTCGATCCTCAATCCCCTCTGGCCCATACTCAGGCGTGCCCAACCTCTAGAGCCCGCTCTCGATGACACCCTCCGCCTCAATCCCCATCTCTCTCTCAAGAGGCTCCTCTATCCTCTGCTCAGGTGAAAACAAACTTTCCTCCTCCTGTATAGTATGCACTGCCTCAAGGAGCACGCCCATGGAYCCCTCTGCTGAGCCCTGAGCTGGCTCACTGCTGGATGGTGGTAGCCCCTCTTCAACTGCCAAAGGTACGACTGGGCCTGCCGCTGCTACAGGTAGCGTCGCGAGCTCAGTAGGGGCTYTGAGCTCGAAGGCCTCTATCTCTACCTCCCTCTGGGCTCTCGCCTCCTCTAGTTCCAGGATAACTCTTCCCATAGGAGGCTCCTRGCGAGGCTCTGCTGCCGTTGGTTGTCCTGGCAACCCGTGTCCTGGCTGCCTGACTCTCCCTGCTCTCTGGCCTGTCCACCTTTCCCTAAGTTTGCTGCCTCAGACTCTCGATGATAGCTGCCTGGCTGGGCACCAATGCCCTGAGTTCCTAGATTTCCACCTCCATAGCCTYCATGCGTACTCCATGGCCCGCTTCCTTCATCTTCTTCCCTGCCAGATCGCTCTCCAATAGCAAGTGCCGGTCTAAAGTTGCCTTGGGCAGGAACTTGATTTTGCGATCGAACCTTTCTTCCGCCTTCGTCGCTACCCCAAACCCGGCTCTGGTTGGCGAAGGAAGCTCCTCTCCTCTCTGCTCCCAGAAGTCCCTCCACATCTCTGGGATTTCCAGGGCCTTGGCTGACGCGCTGGGTGGCTGACCCGGGAGTGCCCCTGCTGCCTCCACACTCTGTCTTTCCTGCTGCTGCTCTGCGAGTGCCCACATCCGCCTCCAACCTCTGCCTTTCTTGCCATATCTCTTCTATCCTCCTAGATCTCCTCGCCCTCTTTCCTTCAACTGTCTCTCCAGCTGGCACCCTTTCCCTCGTGCGGAGGTCGATCCTCTTCGGGATCTCTGCCTCCACCTCCTTCTCGGGCTGGCACGACTCCTGGCATGGCTYTACAGGTGCTGGCTCCTCTAGGTCTGGGTGCTCCAGGGCATGAGCTGCTAGGTGTCTATCAATCAGAGTCAAGGCTTCTCTCCTTACAACTTCCCTCTCTCTCCTCCTTTCTGCCCTCCTCTCTGACGAATGAGCCTTTCCTGATGAAGGCAATGGGGCCTCTTCTCTCTGCAACTCCTCTCCTGCCTGGCGCGTGCTCCCAGGTGCATCTCCAAGTCTCAATCCCACTGCTGGCGTCTGAGGGGGCGTGTCCTCTCCAACCTCTATCACTTCCTTCCCTGCACGTCTCCCCTCATCGCCTAGCCCTCTCTCTCGCTGAGTATCCCGAACCTCCTCCCGTGGCATCTCCTCTCGTGGTACCTCCTCTCGTGGCACCTCCTCTCGTGACACCTCCTCTCGTGGCGCCTTCTCTCGTGGCACTTCCTCTCGTGGCACCTCCTCTCGTGGCGCCTCCTCTGCCTGCTCTCTCTGCTCCTCACCCCCAGGCGACGCTCTCCATCGAGAGACATCCAAATGTGTCTCCAACTCCCTCAAAGGCCCCTCAGACGCAGRCGGCTCCTCTTGCGTGCGTGCTGACGACCTCCTCAATCCACCCTCGGTAAACCGATGGAACTTCACTGGTCCCAACCCATACTCAGGGTATGCTCCTCGCTCCTCAGCCTCTGGTTCCGGTTTCGGTTCCTCGTCTCTCCTAGCCAGGGCCTTCCGTCCTCCTCGAGATGGTCTCACCTCCCTAGGCTCAGGGTCCCTCTGCCTCTGACTCCTCTGACGCCTCTCAACTCTGGGCTAAGGGGGCTTTAGCTGTCGAAAGGCCTCTCTCAGATGTGCCCTGCAGCTCTCCCAGTACCGGGCCATGTCTCTGACCTGCCTAGCCAGTGGTCTCTCTGCCTTTCTGGTCCAGAGGGGTAACGTCCTCGCCCACTCATCTCTCGGTGTACCCTGCCCCTTCATGAATCACTCGAAAGCAGGGATGAACTCTGACGCATTCCCAATCTCTAGGCGGATCGGCCTGCCATCAGGCCCCACAGGCGAGGGTCGCAACTCCTGCATCCTTATCTTCACCTCTGACCTCGTCGTCGCCTCCCTACGGATCCGCGCGACGGGCTCCTCTAGTCTGCCAACTCCCCTTAACCTCTCAATCCCTTGGGTCACGGTCCAGCCCGTACGCCGTGCATGCCCCCAGAAGCCGTCCAGGAATAACTCGATGTCGTCACCATCGTACTCTGGAGTGCTCTCTCGATGGCGAGGCCCATGTTGCTCATATCCTCCTGATGCGCCCAACGGCCTTGGAGGTGGCCGTGTCCCCTTCCCTCCTCTTGGCATGRCAGTCTTCGTAAAGTCAGACCTGCACAACAGGCGAAGGAGACAACAGGCACGCATTGGGGTAAGCAAACAGGTGATAATMAAAGCGAGCTCAGACCTGACCACTCTCATGCAGCATACAACCTATCCGACCTACATAACTTATCGCTCTTATTCTAAAGGCAGTCAGATCATCTCTCTTACCTCTTCTCTCGCCACAAATTTCTTCAGCCGCGTTCCAGACACCCAGTCCTTCCATTCAGTCTCATTCAGCTCCTCAATCTGAAACGCTCCGAAGTCTCCGACCCGTATGATCCGGTAGGGACCTAGCCACCTCTTATCGAGTTTCCTGGACCATTGCTTTTCCAACGATGAATCGTACAGGAGTACGACGTCCCCGAATACCAAGGGTACTTTCCTCACCCGCGCAGACTGGTCCCATCGAGCCTTATCATCCATACGGCTTCTTGCCAGTTGATCGGACGCCTCCTGGATCCTTTCCTCTATCGCTCCTATCTGTCGCGCCCGAATGTCGAGCAACTCCTCAAAGGACAGGTCGACTTCCAGATCCTGACGCCTCCAAGTCTTGAGAAAACTTTCAATAGGGATGGTGCTGTGCCTTCCGTACCACAGAGTGGCTGATGCATACTTGGTGGATCTTTTCACTGTAATGTTCTCGACGAAGAAAGCCGCCCTCAGGTACCTTGGTCACTGATTAGGCCTACCTTCGGTCCACTTAGCCAGGAGGCTCGTAATGGTACTATGCCCTCTCTCCACGGGAGCATTTGCCTGGGGGTGCGCGGTCGTGGTGTAGTTAGCTACTACACCATACCTTGATAGCAACTCCTGCACCTCCTGGCAGGTAAACTCCGATCCCCTGTCCATTATGAATTCCCTGACGAAAGGTTAGCCCAGTCTTCGAACGAATAGCACGGCCGTCTACGAAGCCAGACAGGTTATCGCGCGCATCGAAGATGTAGTTATAGCCCTGATCCCCAAGCGGCATGAATAGTAGATCAAGATGTACTACAGCCCCCACCTCTCGCTCTAGCCTCGGATGTAACGGCTCTCCTTGCCTTAAACGGAATCTCTCCTGGCAGGGTACGCAAGATCGGTAGAACTTCCCGATCATGTCCATCATTCCGTCCCAGTAGTACAACTCGCTTATTTTGGCGTAAGTTGCTTGAACCCCTCGATGCCCTCCTGCAATGCCATCATGAAGTGYTGCTACAACGTCAATCTGACGATTCCTACCGCAGACGACTCTCCGGGGATTCCCCWYTTCTCTTCTTACGGAAAGGTGGCCGTCTCGCACTAAGTAGCGCTGCAGCATCCTCTGAGCCCTATCGCTCGCATCCCTTAGCCGCATTTCGCAAGATAAAAGAAGCCCCAGCTCTAAGTAAATCCCGTCATACTCCTCTGCACGAAAAGCCTCCCCCCCTCCTCGAACTCGTCGTTCTGGCTCTCGGGCACTTCGTCCACATTCCCTGCAGGRTTCAACGAGCCTGACTGGTCGAGGCTTTCCTGCAATAACGTGTAAACGAGGAGATACATTCCTCCCATCAGGTCCTCATGTCGTTCTACCTGGTCAGGTCCCTCCTCGATCGTCCTCATGTCCTCCACCAGACTATGCGAGTTGGCCAGCGCCAATTCCATCATCCACTGAACATCCTTACCACCCCAGGGATCCTCTTCTTCAAAGGGTTTGAGGACTAGCTCCGCCCTCCGTTCGTACCCACTCGGCGCTTGCTAGATAGGATAACCTACACAGCTGGGCAGTCGCGGCAACCACTTGTTGATGTGGAGACGAACATCTTCTTCCTGATCCAAAAATCCATCAACTGGGGGCGTATTCTCCACCKCCTCCCCTTCGTGTTTATCCCCGTTGATCGGACTCAGCCCATCTGCCCGGTTCTTACTGCCAGGAATCCACTCCAACTCGAAGTTAAACATCTAGATATACGTCAGCATCTGACAACCGTCGGATCCGATGGAATGTAATTCCTTAGAGAGTAGGCCAGGGCGGTTGGGTCCACTCTCAAAATAAGCCTCCTGCTGAAGATGTAATTCTGGAAGATCCACAGACAGTGGAGGACGACAAGAGACTCCCTCTTGAACTGAGAGTAGTTCCTCTCGGTCGTACAGAGAGTCCGACTCTCAAATCGCAAAGGTCTTTCCTTTCCTTTCGTGTCTGCCTGAATTAGAACTCTTCCTAGGGCAGTCCGCCCTGCATCCGTTTCGACAATAAAGGGTCGCGTCTCCCTGGCATCGTAATCTGGCGCTCCTAACACCAACCCTCCTTCTCGAAATTCCTCCTTCATTCTGACCACCACCTCTTCTTGCTCTTCACCCCAAACCCATTCTTGATCCTGACAGACTAACTTCCTCAGGTGTTCAGTCTTAGCGGCGAAGTTCTTGACGAAGGCCCTCCAAAATCCACACGTACCAAGGAAGCTCCTGACATCAGTTATTGAGTGGAACGGAACTGGCCACTCAGTAATCTTGTCCGTCTTCTTCACATCCGGCCTTCGGCCCCTCTCGCTGCAGACGAACCCCAAGATAATCACTTCCCTCATGCAGTGTCTGGATTTGGCCCCGCTCGCTGTGAGGTTATGCTCCTCGAGCAGGCTGAGGACCTTTTCGAGGTCCCGAATGTGCTTCCACAGAAAGCGTCGTCGTTCTCCTTCACTGTCGGCCCCTTCACCGCCAAATCGTCAATGTATGGCTGTGTGATATGGGGGCTCACTGACGGAATAGCCCGGATCATGGCTCGTTGGACCATTGCTACCGCGTTGGTCCACCCTTGTGGGACCACGTTTATGTGGATTAATCCTCGTGGCGTGTGCATAGCCGTCACCGGCCTGTCCGGCGGATAGACCAGAAACTGATCATATCCTGAGTAAAGGTCTATAGGTGAGATTATAGGCCTTCCAACACAGAATTTCGACAACACGTCCTTATTGGGCAGTCCTCTAGCATCCCGCACGGTTACCGCATTCAGCCTCTGCAAATCTTGCACCCACCGCAGCGTTTCGTTAGGCTTGATGAAGTAGAACCACGGGGACGTATACGGTCCACTYGAATAGTCGGCGACGTGCGTACGTATCTTGCCGTCGAGGTAATCCACCACCTTCTTTTCCTCGTCAGGATTAGGATATCGCGCCCCTCTCATGTTCCAAGGCTTGTGTGGCACGGTGTGGATGCGGATCATAGGTATTTTGTCCACATCCAGCCTGCCTGGCTCCTCGTCACTARACGCATAGGCGCGATGCCTCTTCTTCATCAACTCCACTATCAATGTCCGCTCCTGAGGCAGCAGCAAGTCGGGTTCCCCTATGATAAACTTCCCCTCATTCCCTTCGTTGATACGACATGGTCCCGCTAGAGCACGCTCCCTCATCCGCCGTATCAACCCTCGTTCCCTCTCGTAGTATGCTCTCTCATCTTCTGTAACGAGGACTGGAACCGGGCGACACTTCTTGTCTACCGTCTTGTACCGCCTTTGGGAACCCTGCTTGAGCCGTCCCCTAAAAAAAACCGATTCACAGATTGCGATTGTGCTGACGCGGGGTTCCCCCTGCCGTCCGGAAGACGGTATACCAGTTCCAACCTCCCCGCCTCGGGGTATTCCAAGACCGGCTCCCTCAAGGCCTGGATGGCATCCGGATCTGCCATCTCATGCGCGGCCACCAAGTCCATGGCCTTCCCGACGTTCGACAGGCTGAGGGAAAATGCTTCCACCCTCTCTCCTGCTTCGGGCTCTACCCGGAGCCTCTGACGCTCACCTTCCGAGTCTTCGATTGTGAACGATCCTGGATTGGGCCGGTTCCTTATACTCCTTGGCCTTGTGTTTCTGCAGGTAATTATTTCGTAATTCCCGTAGGAAGGGTCGCATAGGAGGAGAATTAACGTCCCGTCATSCTTATTGAATATCACGGTCTCCGTCCTGCTTAGGAATGACCTCCCAGGAGGATTCCGTGATCCACGTCCGGCATGATGAAGAAGCAAGCCCGGGCCTTCACCTTCCAACCTCGATGAGTACATTCGAGATTGTCCCACAAAATACGGCCTTGCAGCTGGTTCCATGTAGAATACTGCAATCAGAACGGTCTATATCCAGCCCGAATCTGATCGTGTCCGCCTCCCGGATGATGTTCATTTCCGCCCCGGTGTCCACCRTTGCCGTACACTTGGAGCCCTTTACCACCAAATCCACCGTGCCGCAGGCCACGCATTTCCAGTCCATCTTCGTGCCTGACTCCGCCCACTCTGCCTCCTTGGGCAGAATCGTACCCAGATGGACATTGGGCACCAGGCGCCGCGACAGCCTCCCCTTCAATTCATCGCGGAGCCG